AGTAAGGTGGCCAGATTTTAACATTGGTAAAGCGGGACACCGTTGATAAAACTCATATCCTGGCGAAATAGCCACATGGCAGCCGAAAACCGTATACCCTAGCTTGTCGTGCATTCTCTCCAAAAATCGAGACTTTTTTTAAAACGCCACAGGATGTGGGGGAAATTGTTAAAAATCGGGACTGTCCCGCCAAAAGCGGGACATCTGGTCACCTTATTATGAGGCAAAACAAGTGAGTGTGTGTGTGTACGCGTGTGCGCGCGCTGATTCCAACTACCATTTTTCTGAGTAGAGTCATGACGCCTGGAAGCCCAAGGAAAGGATTTCGTGGGACTGTTTTCCATAGGGCCTAAGCATTACTGCCTTTTCAGCTCCCAAACCTTTGACGTGCTTAAGTATTAAAATACCAGGGGTAGGGAATGTGCCCCCAGTGCATCAGGTGTTTCTCTGCCTCTTTAAAATCTTTTCTGTGCTGTGGTGTTGACACTCCCCCCCCCTGCCCCCTCCACCACCCACCTAGGGGTGACTGAGGTCAAGCTGTCCGGGGAAGGGGCTCAGGGCTCTGGCCCAGGCTGGGTGGCACTGTGGTCTCTGCCCAGAGTGGATTGTGCTCTTGCTCTGCTGTGTTTCGGGGTGTGTACTTGTGCTGTGGGGGTGACTGTGGGATTGACCCTTTCTCAGCCTGTCCTTCCCCTCTTTGCTCCTCCTCGTTCTTCCAGGCGGTAGTGCCACCCTGGTTACCTGGGTAAGGTGGCTGTTTTACATTTCCCCAATTGGCTTTAATGAACTGATAACGTACTGCCTCCTAGCTTAGGAGGCCTGCAGTAAGGTTCTACACACCAGCTCTGGGCGGGAAGTTTTTGTGTCTCTCACCTTGTGTCCCTCAGGACCCCCTGATACCTCCTCTTTCCCCTCCTACTTGTGTCGAGTCTCCTCTGTTTTCAGCCCCAGAGTGATTAGGTGTGAGACACACACTGCGCTGACATGGCTTAATTCGCACCTCCAGGAAACCCCTGTTCTGAAACAGGATCCCTTCACAGGTGTGGGCCTTGGTTCCAACATCTGTTTTCAGGGGACACAGTTCAGTCCATCACAGGTGGGATGATGCCCGTGGCCTGGTGGCTCCACGGTGGACAGCGCTGGGCCAGACTTTGCTCCAGCTGCCGGGGCTGGCTTGCTCTGGCCTCCCCTGCTCCCGCATGGCTGGACTTGCTGGATAGGCCTTGCCGGGGAGTGCTTCCTCTTTCTGTGTCCCAGTTTCCTCTGAGGCTTTGGTCCCTGTGGTTTCTCTGGTAATAAATGCTTGGACCTGACGGTGGCCTGTCCTTCCTCTGGCCATGGTCCATGAGGCTTGAGGAGGCTAGGCTGACAGTGGGCTCAGTTGTGGGGAAAGACACAATGGGTGGGGTGGGGGGGCTGGAGGGGTTGGGTGGAAGGCAGGCCATCTGGCCTCTGACCCATTGGGGATGGAGGGGTGGAGACTGGCTGGAGTCCCCAGCTGACTCACTCCTGTGTCCTCTATGACTCAGTTTACCCAGGTGTGACTAGCGCTGCCCCCTGACAGGCAGAGATGCTCAGAGAGCTTCAGGTCTTGTGATGAAGAAATGCAGAGGCTTGTGGCTTTTGTCATGCTTCCCTCTCTTCTAGGTCACTGTGTGTAAACACCTCTGGCCCCTCCCCTCCTGGGTCAGAACACCCAAGGCAGGGCGGAGACAGGGCCAGAACCAACCAGCAGGCAGGTGGGCACACTGGTCAGAGCAGGCTGCCAGCCTCCTTCCGCCTCTGTCTCCCTTGCAGCTGCCCTGGGGCACGGCGCGGAGGGCCCAGAGCCATGTCGGACTTGGTGCTGCTGGGCCTGATTGGGGCGCTGACGCTGCTGCTGCTGCTGACCCTGCTGGCCTTCGCCGGGTACTCGGGGCTGCTGGCTGAGGTGGCCGTGAGCTCTGGCTCACCCCCTGTCCGCAACATCACCGTGGCCTACAAGTTCCACAAGGCACCCTATGGCGAGACGGGTCACCTTTTCAATGAGAGCTGCAGCGTCTGCCCCAAGTTCCGCTCCATCGCCGTCTACTATGACAACCCCCGTACGGTAAGAAGACAGACCCCTGTCTCTGGGACGACCTGGGACAGGGCTTGTTGGAGGGGCGTGGTGGTTTCTGAGGAAACGGTGGACGCGCCTTTGGACTGGCTCTAGGCCCCTTCCAGGCGCCCGTGTACTGCTCAGGGCCGTTTCCCCTGGCTCTTAGCTCCCCGTGGGCCACTGGGAGTCCCTTGCCTCTGCTGGGGCTGTGCTCCCGGGTTCCCCATTCTGCCGTCCCCCTCTCTCCTGTTTCCCTTGGGGGCCAGCACTGCGTGGCCAGGCTGTTCCCACGCTCCCCTCTCTATCTTTAGAGGCAGGTCTTTGGTTCTTAGCACTTCTGCTGGGGCTGGAAGCCTGTCTGGACTGGGAGGGCGGCCTCTTTTCATGGGCTCAGAATCCCACTTGTCTAGTTGGTGCTCCCTGGCCCGGTGACACGGATGACATGGTGTTTCCTTGGACCTCAAGATGCCTTGTTGGGGCGGGAGGGCCTCGGGGCAAGTGGGGCCAGGGAAGCTGCCCACAGTGCCCAGGATGCCAGGGCCAGAGACTCACCTGGCAGCATCACTGGCTCCCTGTGGGTGTCTGGCTACACACATAGCCTGCAGTGAGTCAGGGCTTGCCAATGTGGCCTCCTGCCGTGCCATGGGGTGGTGCTGCCCATAGCTGGGTGGGCTCGAAGCACTGCCGAGGGTGCCTCGGCCTCTCGGCCTGCAGGCCCTAGCCTGGCTCTGAGCCAGACCAAGATGGACACTTGGCATTTCCAACCCCAGGTTCCTTACTTGGAGCGCTCAGGCGGGCAAGTCTTCCAGACCTCCCCCTGACTGCCCACCTGCCCTCCCAGACCTCCCTGGGCACTCGTTCGAAACCGGGGTGTGCCGGCTCTCTCTCTGGACCGCCCTCTGCTTGACCTGCAGCAAGCATCACGGTGGCCTACAAGAGACAAGGCAGATCTGGCCCTGCCCTCGGTCTGTGATTGGCAGCCACCTGTGCACAACCACCAGTGCTCCAGCGACTCAGCTCTGAGCTCGGGCCGAGGGAGGGAAGGTGGCTCAGGTGGGCTGCAACGTCAGGGAAGAGGTGGGTCTCCTCCCTGCTCTAAGTGGCAGGGACACGAGACGACAGTGGATAGAGAAAGAAGTAGAAGGGGTTACGGACCCAGGCTGTGGGGGCACATGTGGCAGGCTGGGAGGAAGGGTGTGGCGTGGTGGGTCTCCAAGGGGCATCGAGGGGAAGAGGGGAGGGAGGGGCAGAGAGGCTGGGACGGAGCCTGGCCGGCGGAGAGGTGATGTGGCGGGGTCAGGAGCTGGCACTTGGCAGATGCAGGCTGAGTGGACGTGGCCTGGGGGGATGATGGCAATGGGCATGATCAGGAAGACCAGGGCCGAGTGGCTGGCCTGGGCCAGGCGCTGGGCTGTGGGCAGTTCTTGGAGCAGACCCCAGCCCC